ATAAGGTGGTTAAATGCTTCTCTCAAAAAAAAAACAAAAAACAATTTTAAATTTCAGTTTTTAAATAAAAATAAAATTAAATTGTGGATGAATCGTCAGTCATGTTCATCATCTCTAAGTAGTGATAAACACATATAGGGGATCGAACCAAAATCGCTCACGTGGTTACAACGCCAGTGAAGAAGATGAATAAAATGAAAAAATTTCAAAATGTGCAAAATTGAGCAAATTCATCATAAAGCACATTTAATGCAGAGCAGATTTCATGTTTTGTTTTTGTGATGCGCTAAACTACAACGAGCACAATTCATAAAAATTAACGCCTGACTCAATAAAGATGTCGAATTATTTTAAGCAAAAGCTATTTTGAATTATGTTTTTCTGTTTTTTTTTTATATTACTGCATCTTATTAAGAAGAAACAAAAGACAAAAGGAAAATAGTATTTATTATTTTCTGGAAAAAATTGAATTTTACTATACATAATCAAAATGAAATTGTGACCGCAATATTGAGGCAATTGCTATAATATTTAACTAGCAGTTACCTTAAATACTGTATATTTTGGCTATTAGCATAAACAATTAAAATTCTAAAGTTGACTTTTGGCCGTTTTTGAATGCCTTCTGGCCCTCTGTGCAGTGGAGAAAACGCGAAATTTACTATTCATAAAGGTCTACAGCCTGTAATTAATGACGAATTTTCAATTTTATTTTGTAATAGAAAGGTAATTAAATTCGTAAGAGGTTTAACAAGCTACTTTTAAAATATTTAATTTGTTTATATTAAATTTGTTTGTAAAAGTGCGAATAAAGTGGCAATTTTGGGAATAATCGATTCTAGTGCCCCTGTTAACTATTGTTGCACAAGAAAACGAGATTAAAGCAACTACAGGGTGCGAAAAAGATTGACAAGAAAAATTTTAAATTCTTAAAAATTTGCAAAAATTCTATGAATGCAGTTTTGTAGCCTAGTAAATTTTAGTAAGTAAAGTGCAAGTCTCAATTGCCTCAGTATTTAAGTTGATTTATGTTGAGAGTCACTGATGAAATTCAACCATTTTCTAGTTTTTTAAGACCCTTGGAGAGGTTTTAAAACTTCTCTCTATTTGAAAACTTATTAAAAAAATAGTTGTGATTTTTTCGAATGGCAATGAAAAATTAATAATTTCGGTACTATTTTGCCTAAACAAAAGTTTCAAGACTAAATTGTTAAAATACTTGATATATTTTTTATTGTACTTGTTTCTTTATTCTTTAGCGCTTTTTTTCTGCCGGGAGAAGGGGTGACACTGAAAAAAACCACTCGTGATTTGCTCATATATTTTTCGCGCTTTGAAAACTAAACATAACATTGAGAGGGGAAAGTGGATATTCATAGTATTTGGGATTTGAAAGATGAACCGTTTTGGTAGGTTTTTTTTTATTGTTCACACATATTATCCAACCGCAAGTCACAACAAAAACTTTCTGTGAAATTAGTTCAATACATGTGTATCTGTATTTGTACAAATAAATTCATTGGAAACGAATGTTGCTAAACATATGTTGCAAGACTTGCACTGATTTGTTGCCTGGAAATGCGAAAGTAAGATACATAGCAACCAACAGATGCAACCAAACGCTGAAAGGGATAACGAAACTCAACGTTGCCACAGTGTGGCAAGTGCCTTTATTTATTGCTACTTAGTTTACACGACGTCATTATTTGCGTTAAGATGACGCGGCAGCGGCGGCTGTTATGTCGGCGGTGTGTCGCGCCGGCTAATTTTAAACTTGCCTTGTTGCGTTGCGTTGCGTCACACACAGGAAGGAAGTGGATTTGTTGATTTTAGACAATGCCTGCTGACTGCGCTTGCCGCCGGGTATGGCAACACATCTGCATATGCACGTGCGGTAAATTGTACGGCATGCCACAAGCACAGTTGGCGGTGTGAATGGTGTCAAAAGCACAAAGCGTACAAAAACAATAAAACGCTCAAAATTGAAAGCAATCACAAGCAGCTGACATTTTAAATGGTAACAAATTAACTCTTGAAGCCTGAAAGGCCTCGATTCTGTATGCATACATACATACATACATATGTATACTTGTATGCTTTTGTAGAAAGTAAAAGGGATGTCATAGCATTGAAGTGGGTGTGGGCAGCGTTGTGAAACAATAACAAATGTAAAATGCAAAATAAACATGTTTAGAAATTCGCCCTCAGGCGTATGCTTTGTTTTTGGTTTTTTTTTTAATTTCTTGTATTTTGCTGTCCCTGTTTAATGTAACGTGTGTATGTACATACAAATATGTATGCGCTTTATTGTTATTATTTTTTCATTATTATTATTTACATTTATGGTCTCCGCTTTGCTAATAGGTCGTTGCTGTCCGCTGAGAAAGCCTAGTTGTGTTTGTTTAAGTGGAAACACGCAGCAGGCGCTTAAAGGGATGGCGAGTAGCAGCTTCAAAATAAATATGCATTTCTGTATGTATGCATGTACATGTGTTGATGAGCGGGTGTAGTATGATGAAAGTGTGAAGGCTGTAAATCAGTGCCAAAAAATATTGTGGTATAAAACAAGCGCAGGTGTTAAAGCTGCCAAGCTATGAAAAAATAAACCAATGGTGTTGGAAGTGTGTAAATTTTAATGCGGCTTATACTGAAACCTTCTTCTTCTGAACCGGAAACCGTGCTAGGGATGCTACTTTTTTCGATTTTTGCGATCACAAGATTTTCGGGATTTCGTTTATACAATCCCGGGATCCCGGGATTAGTCCCGGGATTTAGATATTCATTATTGTTCAACAACCTAACATGAAAAAATTGCATCAATATTGTTTGAGAAGCTGTCCTACCATAAAATAAATAATAAATAAATGAGTTTTAAACATACATTTTATTTAAATTGGATAATGTTTAATTAGTAACAAAACAAAAGACAGTAATTAACTTTATACGCATTTTACAATACTTTAGCGTGAAAGAAGTTCAAGTGCAATAAATAAAAGTAACGCCTTATTTCGACCAGGTTTGTCTACATTTTTTTCTTTCGTTTTTTTTTTAATATTTAAATTTTTTTATACAAGTCTACCACATTCTACATATAGCTAACTGCATATAAATGCGCTTTTCAAAATTTGTACAAAAATTATAAAAATGCATAAACAAAACCAAGATTTTAAACTTTTTACTCAGCACTTTTAGAAAAAATTTAAGTACACAGTTTTATAGCCCATTAAATTATAGTAGCATAAGATACAAGTTTCCAGCAGTTACGAAATACTGTTGATTTCTGGGGATTTTTTTACGATGCTGGGCGTTTTTTTCCATATAAACAAATTGTCGAACATACTTTGCGTGACATCGCCAGCAAAATAATCATAAAAATCAACGTTATTTTTAGTCACTTGAAAATTGTACATCATCCTCCTGTAATTTAATGGTGTAAAAAATTGCGTACCAAGAATTTTTTTGTTTAATTCGGAGTAAAAAGTCTGATACAGGTCCAAACAAACTATGGGCCAAATATAGTAAAGCTATATGGTTTTAGAATTTTTTCTCTAAAAATTATTTAAAAAATTAAGTGCAATGTAGAATAAAAATGGGTACAAAATGAAAGAGAAAATTCGGTAGGATTTAAAAAAATTTAAATTTTTTGGGTTCACAAGGACCCTTTTAATCAATCAAACGGCCGAAAATTTTATCAGAAAGTTATGCGAATTACTGAATGTTTCAAGACCATGGCAAACTCCAGTAAGAACAACCATGGTGCACGTACTTAAGATACGAACCCGAGCCCCAGTCGATGACGATGGAGTCAATGTCCCCCCGCCTGACTATGACGATGGGCGAATAGCGATTACGCGGCTGAAAAACAACAAAGCTTCTGGAGCTGACAGCCAGACCAGCTATTTAAGTATGCCGACGAGGAGCTTATAAGGTGCATACATCAACTCTTATGCAGAAAATTGTCAGATGAATGCAACCCCAACGACTGGAATTTAAGTGTGGTCTTTGCAGTTCACACCAAAGGCGACCCCACCATTCGGGCCAACTACTGCGGGATCAGCCTTCTAAGCATAGGTTACAAGGTCTTATCGAGCGTATTGTGTGAAAGACTGAAGCCCGCCGTCAATGAACTGATTGGGCATTATCAGTGTGGGTTTAGAACTGGCAAATCCACCATAGACCAGGTATTCTCATTACGTTCAATCCTGGAAAAGACCCGCGAGAATAGGATCGACACACACCATCTATTTGCCGATTTAAAAGCCGCTTTCGACAGCAAGAAAATCAGTTGCCTCTACCACGAAACTGATACGGCTGTGTAAATTGACATTTAGCAATACCATCAGATCCATTAGCGTTGGAACGACCTCTCGGAGCCATTCGCTACCAAATGGGGTTTTAGACAGGGCGACTCCCTTTCGCGTTATTTCCTTAACCTGATGTTTTAGAAGTTAATATGGAGCCGTGGAACTGAACCACTTAGGAACAATAAAGTTAAATATGGTTGGGCTGTGATAGAAACTTAACGATACAATTGTTTTCATTTACCCTGAGAGTGGGATGAGAACAAAATATAACTGTAATGTACTTAAGTATATTATTTTTCCAAAATGCCTCTCTAAACACATTATATAACGAGCTTGAATACAATTTTCGATATTTAAACGAACTCATCTACATACTTAAATAGATATGTATGTACATACTTGTATGTATGTTTAAGCCCCAAGTAATCGGAATTTAGTATTAGCATAATTGTGTGTGTGTGTGTGTGTGTGCACTCCCTGGTGGTTTAGGGTTGTTTACAGCTGTTCAAACTCATATTCATACATACATGTACATTTTTTTTGCATTCTTTCTTTTCTTCTTCTTCTTCTTATTTTTCCATTACTTGTTCTACGGAATATGCTAGTTGTGTGTGAATTTTTTTGCAATTCCCATCAAGCATACAACCCGTCTCCGACCGATTTGTATTCAGTTGCTTGTCAACATGTTGAGTGCGCGTTACGAGGTGCGGGTGTTATTCGATGATGCGTGTGTCGTTGACGTCGTCGACCCCTAAATTTTTGTTTCGTGCCAGTGATGTCGGTGATGTTTTGGTTTATTTTGCGGACTATTGAATTATTCGTGGAATTTTAATTAACAAACCGAAATGTTTTCGTTTGACTTTTGGCAGTGACAAAGGAGCGCATCGCAGCTTAAACAATTTACAGTCATGGGATGAGAAATAGCACAATTTCGCTTGAAAGGCCAAAGCCATTGCAAAAAGAAGTAATAAATTTATGTGCTTGTTGAAAAGATGGTATGAAAATGGTGACTTACTTATTTTGACACATTTAACTATTGGAGACTGCTGCAAAATTAAAAATCCTCTAATAAGATGTTGGACCAAGAATTCTGACACTTTGCAGCACGACAGCTAAAAAAATTCATAATAAAGACTTTACGTTCTAATTTGTGTTAAGAAAGTACTATTGTTTTCAGTAATTATACCTGAGATCAGCTCTAAAGTTCCCAAAATTTTCCTTTGGAATCGGAGTAACAGACAATCGTGAGAAATTTTTACATTTCGACTCAGTTAATGGATTTATTTCATTCTTAAGTTTTGAGCGTTGGTTATGTTTAGGCAACATATTGTGCGCTAACGTATGGTAGCTCGGTCAAACGTTTAACCATCCTATTCCCGCGCATTGGTCTGTGAGACCGATGATCATTATTCGAGTTTTTTTTTTGAAGTGAAACTTCTTTAGCGGCGGTTGGTTGGTTGGGAGGAAATTGGCAAATTCAACGGAAATTGCACACGGAAATGGTGCAACGGAAATGATGCAACGGAAATGGTTGGGGCTGAGACAACTGCTTCTTGTGTGTATGCATATGGTATTAATTTAATAAAAATTTGCTAATAAATAAAAGGTTAAAGAATAACACCTAGAAAAAGGCCAATACAAGAATGAAAGTAAAGGTGACTACATACATAGATAAAGAAAAGGATAAAGGCAAAGGTAAAAATAAAATCAAAGATGCGTTAATATAAAGGCAAAAATGAAGACCAAGGTAAATTTAAACACTTTACTTATATATATATAAGGCCAAAGGTGAAGGGGAATATGTAGATAAAGAAAATGATAAACATACAAGTAAAGACAAAGAGGAGGATGAGGATACCGATAAAAGTAAAGATGAAGATAGGGGAAGAAAGATAAAAATAAAAGTAGTTAAAGAGGAAATGATATAGAGGGAACAGAGTCTCAATCTGGGAACTATTTTGGCATTTCAAAGATTTTCGGGATTCTCGTGACTTATCGATAAATCGATAACAAAATCGATAAATATCGATAACCAAACCAATAAAAATCGATACAAAATCGATTATAATATCGATAACAAAATCGACAAAAAGTATCGCTTACAAAATGGGTAAAGATGCCGATTACAAAGTCGATAACAAATCGCTAAATATATCGATAAAAATATATTATTGCATATATCGATAAGTTCCGAAAATATTGATAGCAAAATTGATAACAATATCAATAAAAATTTCGATAAAGAAATCGATAAAAATATTGATAAAAAAATCGATAAAAATATCGATAACGAAATCGATTGAAACATCTATAAAAAAAATCTATTTCAAAATCGATAGGAAAGTCGATTAAAATATTGATAACAAAAACGACAAAAAATTTCGCTTATTATGTAGATAAGTTCCGAAAATATCGATAGCAAAATTAAAAACAATATCGATAAAAATTTCGAAAACAAAATTGATAAAAAATATCGATAACAAAACCGATAAAATATCGATAAGTCCCGAGAATTCCGAAAGTCTCTAAAATTCCGAAACGGTCCCCAAATTGAGTCTCTGCCTATATCCTTTTGTCTATAATAACCTTTATTTTAAACTTTCTTCGTCTATCTTCATTTTTAATTTTATCGGTATCGGTATTTAAAAAATTGCAATAATTCATATACGATTAATCCACTGAGCAGAAATCTCGTTTAGGCGATTAATGTTGAAATATGGGTCAAATTGACCCAAAGTCCGAACGAAGGTTAAAGCGTTTTTAGACTACATTTTAACCTTAAAATGGAACAGAGGCAAATCGGATTGATTTTGGTAGAGTAAGGTAAAATTTATTAATTAGATGAATCTGAATCTGTAGTTACAATTAGTAATAAAATTGATCGTTGCAACTCGTTGTTGTTATTGCAACGCCAAAAAAAATATAATAAGGGTATTCATCTAAACGCGTAAATGCCTTGTAACCACGTAGACCTCGTAAACTTAATTAATTGCGTACGGAAAACTGGTTTTACTAGGTTTACACAGTTAGGAGGCTTTTAGGCGTTTAGGTGAATACCCTTAATGTATGTTCCGACTGCCATCTAATGGAGTCTGAGAGATTCAATATATTTTACTCTTTTATTTAACATATGGTTTTCTTTAAAATTCTATTTTTTTTACATTTTTTTAAGTGTTTGTATGTTGCAATAATTTGTGGGAAAAAGGCCAATGGATGTAATAAGAGGCCATTAACTATAAATTAATATATATATTTTTGTAAACAACTTTAGTTTGTACGCTTTTAATCCTGAACCGATAATCTTCGTCGATTTGATGAACACTGTTGCTCTATTCCCATTTTTCTCGTTATTGGATTGAAGAGCGAATCTCTCTAAAATATATAAAAAAGCTTAAATAATAAGTAGCCTGTGCCTTTCTTGTTAAGGTTCATCATTATTCAAAGAAGTTTTGCAATCTGGCATTCAACATTTTTTATACAAAGAATGGGATATAAAAAGGGCTTCGTCGATTCGACGATGATTACCTTTAAAGTATGTATAGTAACGTTACCCTTTAAGGGTTAAAGAGATCACTGACTCTCCAAAAACAGAGTGTGTTGAAGGGTGTATACATAATATACACAGAAGCATAGCGAGCAATGGGAAGTAATCGCAAACACGTCAAGGGAGTACTTACCGAGTAATCGAACGATGTTGTCAAGTTGTACTGGGTGTCACCGTAGCTACATTAAACCAACAAAAGCAGTTCAGGACTGCGCTTATGTACATGGTATATATATAGCATACATAATTGAATTTCCTGCCAAGAAAGATTTATTTAATCTTCCATAAAAGTAAACTTGTGTCTTCAAAACTAAAATCGTAAGACTCGACAAACTCTCATCATTATTTTTTTAATTAAAGTACACATATTGCCATTCTTTATATTGAATATACAGTGCGAGTTTCTATTAAAAAATTATGATTTTGATTTAGCTTTAGAATTTTGACTAAGAATTAAATTTAGGTTACCTAAATTATCAAACCATACCCAATATGAAACACACAAATAGAATGAAAAATAAGCAATTTTTCGTCCTTCTCAATTTCAGGTTTCCGTACACCATGAAGGTGACGAATAAATGAACTACTAAAAGTGAGCAAATAGAGAAAGGACAATCTTTGATGAAATTTGAGCAGACAAATATCTAGCAGAAAAATTAAAAATAACAGCAACAACAAAGAAAATCAAAATAAAGATCACTCCACTATGGGAACAAACAAAGAAAAGCAAACAAATTGTCAAAACGGACAAAAATACCATTTGAAAATATGATGGAAACCAGCCACTGCAAAAACTAATACACATGAACAACAATTATTGCATAAAAGCAGCGAAACTATAAAAAACATCTGTTTTCAGACGAGATGAAATTTTATTTCTGTTTGTAATAGCGAAGGAGTGGGAAGAAATTCACGCTGAATATAGCACGAAATGAAGAAGAATCGTTATTACTCTGTGTAGGTATGAGCACGTATGATATTTTGCGAATAATAAAAAGTTATTTTTTTGCATTTGAAATAATTATCGAACTAAATTTTGCTCTAATAATAAAAAAATAATAATAAAAATAACTTTTAGAAACAAAATAAAATAAATTAAATAGAAAAAAAAAATTAAATTGAAACTCTTAAAACTCTTAAACGTGTCTATTTCTTCCGTTATAATTTAATCTTCTATTTCTATACTGTTTTCTTTATTTCCTCTTTCCTTACATTTACATATATGATATAAAAAGCTGCATTATTGTTAATAATAAATATTTTATATCCTGCAAATTTGCTAATTTGATATAACTACATGTATTTGTATAAGTGTAGACGTCAAATACCAATGCCATACATACATACATATGTACAATAGACTGAATCATTCCCCTTACAAAAAAAAAAAATCGGTACTGTTTTTCCATTGGAATTATAAAATGTGTTATATCTAAAGACGTCCACCAAAATATTTCGGAAAAATATTAAGAAATAAGCGAGCTGGACCGATTTTTTTTTTTTATTTGGAAATCAAAAAAAATTTATTGGTCGCTCAAACCGCTCAAAGTTTTCCATGTATTTTATATGGGGAAAAAGCATTTTCAGAATTCTTGAAAATAATTTTTTTTCTGATCGGAAAACTTTGTTTCTCTTCAGAAGAATATCTAATTGTTTATTTAACCATTTTTTAACACTACAGTTTTGACAATGATAATGAGAGTAACTTTTTTTCTTTGCAGATTTCAAACTTTACCCAAGGCAAATAGAGGATTCAAGCTTTCGCATAAGTGTGGTCATTCACGCACATGCATAAATATATGTACTATATGTATGCACATTCTAGAACCAATTGTGTAAAAGGGCCACTCACACACGAAAAAAAAAAATCGAAAGTGTTTTGCGGCAGGAAATTATTAATAATGCGCTCGACGTGGCCACAAATTGAAACTAATTAATTTGCGCACGTTTTCAATAGACAGCAAACAACAACAACAACACAAAGAATTACAACACATCTACAACAAAAATATCGCAAACAATTATTAGTTCAAAAAGTTATACATAGTCGGGCAGCGGATGCAGCGCATCTGTCAGCATATGAAAGCTGCATTATTAGTACGCTTACCGCACAACCATAATCAGCTGCCAGCCACAACGCAGCGCAAGACCACATAATTCAAATAAAACGCGCATCCGCCACACAAAATTATCAACGCGCGGCAGCAGCAGCGCAAGTAAATGGCGGCGCAGTGTGTGTATGCCAACTTCTTTGCATTTGTGTGGGCAAGTGAATTTTGCAATTTTTCAATTTTTGCAAATTAAATGCATTGCAGCACTGTGGCAAAAAAAGCGAGTCTGAAGTTGCGGTGTAAAATCAATTTAAATGGTTTTAATGTGCATAAACAGAATTGTAGTAAAACTTGTTTTCGAACAAATAGGCTTCAGCGAGGAAGCTTGATAAACAAAAAAAAAAAATAGAACAGAAAATAAATCCTTTAAGCTACAAAGCGACGTCAAAGTGAAAGTGTGTATATCCGTTGACTGAGTACTGCGCATGAAAACGCAAAGAGGCCAAAGAAGTGCGAATTTCTACGCACGCAAAAATATAAAAAACAAAAACTATTTCAAAGCCAACACGTCCGCCACGACACGACGCAAGCAATTTGCGCTTGCTGCTGCTTATGGCAGTGTCTGGCCCGCCTGCTGGTCTGTCATAAAATATCAATTTGTGATTTTTCAATTTTGCCGCCGCCAGATAAATACAAACGTGCCGCAAATTTTCGCATCATCGCAGCGCTACCTCAGCTTGGCGCGCTCTTCCACGAGCGCTCGATCATTTATTAGCTACATTAGACGTGCTACACATTCTAACTATGTACGTATGTATGTACATATGTAAGTAGCGGTGGTGCGTGAATGCGTCGTCTGTCGCTGGCAAAAAAAAAGTAAACTAATAATTCGTCTAGTGAACGCGTGTGACTAGTGAAAAAATAAGCATATACCAAATATAAAAAAACAGCAAAACAAAATCGCACCTAAATGGTAATATAAGTAGTCGTACAAACATATATACAAACTTGACTTGTGTTTGCTTGCGTTGCGTATTTTAACCGTTGCGGTCTGTGGCAACATTGTGGCGAAACGTGCTCGCATTAGCTTAAGCCACAATTGGCATTGGTCTTATGAATGTGTGTATGGATAAACAAGCCTACTTACCAACCAACATAAATGTACAAACACAAATACTTTAACAATCCGCTTAATCCATTCAAGGCATTTCGCGCGCGCGCTAAGATATACTAGCTGTTTGATTTTCAGCTCGCTCGACACCTCACCCCCCACTGCACCTTCTAGCCCTTCATCCTTAACTTTGCGCTTACCCTCTATTCGTAGTGGCATTAAAAACGTGCGACCGAATGTTTGCTTGTAATTTGCGGTCAATGAAATTGGCTCTTAGCCGGCGGCATGGCTTCATGTCGACGACATCGTCTGTGTGCGCGCGCGCCTTCATTTCAACTTCCGCGTTGGCGTTGGCGTCAGTACCCGCGTGCTGTAAGTGTGACGCACGTGAAATGAAGATGTCAAGGGTGTCGTCCATACAGCGACATTCGAACGGCACTTGCTCGCATGGCAACCAACACCAAGTTAGTTGCGGTGGCAGCAGAAATTGTGGTAGCGGTATTAGCCATTTTACACAGTGCTTAATTACATGCGGGCTGCTACTGATTTTAGCTGCTGGTAATGGTAAGTAACATTGCATTCTTTTTACTGATTCGCAGTTATTAATTGAAAATAATTAAATACTTGATATTTAAATACTTAGTCCGAATGTATTTTATTGAGGCCGTAGTATTAAAGTCAGAAATTCATATCCAAAGGGCATTTTGAAATCAGGCTTCATGGTGAACAACAAGCTGGTTTAAACCGTCATGAAAAAAATAAAAAATTAATGCGGTTATGTTATTCATTGTTTGCAATTTGAAAAAGAAGAGTTGGCCTGAAAATTTTTTTCTGGTGCTTATCACTTGTGGCAACGCAAATCTTGCCAACACTTAAAAAAAAAAATTTGGTAGAATTTTGTAAATTAATAAAAAATATATATATATCTTTTTTTTAAATATGTTTCACACTGTAACAAAAATCATATAAACAAAAGTTTCAAACTTTATATACAAATTTCAAATTTCATAACATTTTCATAAAAAATTTAACATCAAACGTGCACTTTATTATACTAAAAATAAATGGACTATTAAAATGCATACCCGACATTTTCATAAAAATTGTTATTAACTTTGATTCAAATTTAACGACTTTTTCTAAATTTTGGGAAAAGGTGAAACCTTTATTTACATAGGTTTTTTTTACAGTGTGAACTGTATTTCAAAAATAAAATATCGTCGTTTAAAGTGCAAAACCGCGTATCAACAAAATGCAAAACCGCGTATGTGAAGTTGTAGAAATTATTTTCTAGAGCGTAAAAAGACTCATATTTCAAAATGGTGCTCTTTTTTATAAAGCAATCGCATTTCCGGCTAATATATTTCAGAACGAATGGATAAGGATTGAGCGAAGAGCTTGTATGAGCAAATCCAATTTTTGGCAGCCAATGTCAGTTACGCGGTTTCGCAGAATGACGATACGCGGTTTTGTACTTTAAACGACGATATACATATATCCTTTAGTAATTTACAAAATTCTACCTGATGAAAAAAAAGTGGTGGTAATGTTTGTCTGGCCACAAGTGTATATCGATGGTTGAGTGGAGGAAGATCGACCTATCTTGGAAGCCAGTTCGTTTTCTTTTTTTGTAAAACGTGCTCTGACCTAGGTTCAAATAATCGTATTTAATCATTAAATGGTTACCCAAAAAAAAAAAAACATGTTTTAATTAGTAATCATTATGATTATTAATCATTATTTAACAGCTCTGTTTTAAGCCAAATTTTTTTGAATCTTTCATTTAACTTTTATTTTTTCTATTTTGTTTACAATTTTGTCCTTAAAATTCATTTTTTTCCTAAAACGAATTCACAAACATTTATATGTATGTATGTATAAAATACTATATATGGAAAAATATACTACAATATTGGATGGTCAGATACAATACAATGAGAAGAAGTCATGAAAATTAATATATTTTTGAAATTAAGAGAAACTCAGTTTTGAATTTTAAATTTCCTAATGCTGGATTTCCACTAGGCATTAAATGGTAAAAAATGACAAATGACAAAGCATTCAAAAATAATCGTGTAATTACGTTAAAAAAATTGTCATTAAGTTCATTTCCACGTTGCATTTTTTTTTTTTTAAATGGCATACACATTTTGTCATTTCAATGCCTAGTGGAAATTTGGCATAACTGTATTATAATCACGTACGCAAGTTCATTCAAATTATCTCGAGAAGAGAGAATTTACGACAACTCGCATTAAAGCATTGAAAAATTAAAACAGAAAACAACAACATTGAAACGAATGTCCGCTAAAAATGAGAATAACTGTGAGTTAGATAATTTTTGTTATGCTTATCATTTGTTGTTACAAATAAGCCTCAGTAAATTACGTCCACGTTGCACGTCTGCAGCTGCGGCAAAACCAAATCACCAGAAATGGCAGCAGCCAAAGCAGAAGCAAGAGGGCAGCATCCGTACCAGCGCGCGCAGGAAACACTGGCCAAAGCGGCAAAGCTCGTTGCTGTGGGAAATTAATCACGATTATAATTTAAGCTGAATTATGAGCTAAAGCTGCTGAACGACCAACCAACCAAATAACAACAGCGATCCAGCTACCGCACACTACCAAGTGGCAGCAATAGCAACCAGAAAACAACAACACAGATAGCATTTTGTGTATCGTTCGTCCTTTCGAAATTTAACGCCAACCAAGTGGGCATTGCATTGCTTTGAAGCGTAGATATTTGGAAGGCATACCAAAAACTTAATTGTACACATGCATATATATACATAGGGGCACAAATAACAGTAGAAACATACCTACTTAAATAGTACCAAAGCAAATACATAAGTAAGTAAAAGTTCGCTAAAGTCAACATATAGCGCGGCAAAACTAGACATTACAAATCTATGTATGTATGTACGGAGTTATTTTACACTCCATACAACACCCCGCTAAAATGGCTGCACGTATTTCAATGACATTTGGCATATTTATAGGCTATGATATTTTTTGAAGGGGGTTGCCACTTTTTTCAAAAGTTAAAACCAACTATTTATCAAGTTAAATAAACTGTTACAACAATGTGAGTGTCAAAAAAAAAATCTGATTTATTTTAAAAATATTTTTCAAAAGAGTTGCCACCTTTTCGTAAGCATGAAGTAAATTTAATTAACTATTTAAATAAAATATTTTAGTATGGGTACCAAATGAGAAGGGTTTAAAACAAATTTAGTTCTAAATATTTTCAAAGATGGTTGCCACCCGTTAAGAATTTCAAATACAATTTAATTATAAGGGTAAACGAAATGTCTCAATAAGCATATCAAAGGAGAGACGGTTGAGAAAGTTTTCTTTTGAAAATATTTTTGGAAGTAGTTGCCACCTTTTTATAAACATAAAATCAATTTAATTAGCAATTTAAATCAAATATTCTAGTGAGAGAATGATAATGAGATAGTTTTAAGACAAATTGATTTCTAAATATTTTTAAAGAGTGTTGCCACCTGTTAAGAAATATATAATCAATTTATTAAACAAATTAAATGGAATTTCGTTGAAAATGTTTTTGAAGAGGGTCGCCACCAGTTAAGAACTTTAATATAATTTTAATCGACAAGTTAAATGAAATATTTAAGTGTAGGTTAAGAAATTTAAAATCATTTTAATCGACAAGTTAAATGAAATATTTAAGTGTAGGTGTCAAATGGGGGAGATTGTAGTAAGCTTTGCGAACTTTCAAACCCCTGCAACTGTATGAAAAGTACGAAACCTTTTTTTTTAAGACAACGCGCAAGGTTTCAAGAAGCAGCACTTTACGACGAAACTCTGAGGCTAATTGAGGATAAACTTTTCTCAATGGTGGGAAAACGGATGTGAGATGTCTACTCGCCCACTCCGCTACGAACGCAGAGCCTAAACTATTTCCCGGGCAAAGGCAAATTTCCCACAAATTTGTGGGCCACGTGGAGAGTGGAGAAAGGGCCTTTATTTCTTGGACACACCAGCTGATAGCGCGTTTTTGAATCGGCAGTTGAGATAAGGAGTTCTTCAACCAAATTCTGAAATAGGCGTTCTTCAATAAAATTCTGAAGTAGGGCATATTTATATACTTGTATATATTTACATACTATGTTTCTACTAGTGAACCCGCATGGCGTCAAAATTGGCCCAAAATTGAATCTTAAAAGTCTAAAAAATATTCTGAATATTAATCAGAGTTATAAGCGATTCGAGTACCATATTTCAACTAAACGCTGTGCAGCCGTATCTGAGTGAAGAGTGGTCCTCTCATAGTTCCGGTTTTTAATATCTACAAAATTTCAAATAACTCTGTACCGATAATTTCGACTGATATTCATATTTTAATTATTCATTTGGCTTTGAATTTAAATGGACGACAACCCTCTTCAAACACCTCAAAAATAGTTTTAGCGTTCAAACTAAAAATTTCATAACAATTCTTCACTTGGTACCCGTATTTCAAAAAAGTTTCATATAAGGTATTTAACTTCGACTCGACTTAATTATTCTCGTCTGACATTGTGGTAAATATTTTATTTAACTGACAAATTAAGTTGAATTGGATTTTTTAAACATGTGGCAACCCTCTAAACATAGTTCAGAAATAAAGCCGTGCCAAACCCATTTCGATTGATGCCAATATTTTAATAATTTATTTGGCTTATTAAATAATTTAAATTTAACTTTTTAAACAGTTAGCATCCCTCTATAAATAACTCAAAAATAATGTTAGTGTTGACACTAAAGATTTCTTAACAGGCTTTTGTGTGACATGTTTTAGTATATTGTTGTGTATAAGTTAACTGAAATCGACTTTTGAAACAGGTGGCAACCCCCTTCGAAATATTTACAAACTATTACATTCTTAAAATCTTTTCGTCTAGCACACAAATAGTGATAAACATACATATCCATTACCTAATTACCCTAATTTAAATTTTCCTCCAGTGAAATTAAGGAACAAAGCTTCTAAACCCATTTCGATCGATACCCATTTTGTAATAATTGGTTTAACTTTTAAAATAATTTTAACTTAGTGCATAGTGAATGTAAAACTTATTTTTACTTTTAAATTTAAAGAGGTTTACAAAATATCGAAAAGCAAGTAATGTATTTAATTAGAAACATAAATTAATTAAAAAAAAAACAGATATATTTCTATAAAAAAATTGACATTAAATAAAAATAAATTAGATAGTCAACACTCTTCAATATGTCGGTGTTGTATAGATATGATAGGCACTATTAAAAGGATTTTGAGTATGCAGTTTTGTAATCCTTTTAATTTTAGTACATGAAATTACAAGTACAACATCGATATTTTTACGAAGTTCGAAACTTAGATTTATTCGGTTTTTGTTAAGGAATAAACTATATTTTTATAAAAAGAAATAACTAAAATTAAATAATTATAAAAAAATAGTCAAAACTTCACAATGCTTTTGGTTTTGAACTCGGATTCAGAAGGAACATACTTTATTGCAGTACTGTCAAAAAAAAAGCGATTTTTGCATTAAAAAAATATTTTTTTTTAAATCATAC